TCTTCTCACACCGACAAAGTTCGATCGCGAACAATTAGCACACCCGGTATATCAAATTTTCATTCAACCCGACATTTCCAAGGAAAAGGAGATCTTCCGACTTCGCCGAGCCTTAATCCCACTTCCCCTGATATCATCCCGCGTAACAAACAACTCGCCAAGGGTAACTTCTACCCCGATTATCGTCGAACAATGGCCGAGCCGCCCCTCGCCCTCTTACAGCCAGGAAGAAATTACCCGATCTCTCGAACTGTGCACGCACATCGACGAAGGAGATAAACAGGCGGTTGATGCTCGTACGAGACAAAGGTATCGCGCGTTCGTTGGGGGGTTGGTTCGGTTGTATCGCGTCGTTTAGCAACGTTCGTTACGGGCTCGAACGCGGCAGGGTGGAACGAAGGGGGAGGAGACGGTGGGGGTAGAGCAGGTTAACACTTTAAGCCGTCCTGTTTAATATGGCTTTATTACGTAGGTGGTAACGAACCGCCGGGAGGCCATTATGCGGCGATAAAATGCGCAATGCATGATGCACCTACACATCGACGTGTCCCACGCGTGTCCACCTGGCGCTCGTCTCCACCGTGGACACGCACACGCGTCCAAGTTGACTGACCCGACGGTGTTCGACACGCGTGTGCACACGCGTGTGGGGGTGGATGGTGGAGGAGAGCTGCGGTCGTTCGCCGCGTTACGCAGTCACCATGGTTACTCGAAATTCAATTCGCCTTTTCGATGGGACCTAGGCACGCACGCGACACGTAACCACCGTTGATTTTTTCCCTCTCTCTCTCTTCGTGTTTTCACTTTTCTCTTTTCCTCTGTGAGTGTGTGTGTGTGTGTGTCTTTTTCCCTCCGATTTTTTTCTCCGCTCGTTTTTTTTTTCGGTCGGTTTAATTGCACGTGTAACGGTCCCGTTGATTTTTTTCTTCCTTTCTGCGCCGTAACTCGCAACCGGGGATTTGAGATCGCGCAGGGCGAGCTTGGTTACGCGGGGGTTCGTTCTATGGGGCTCGAGAGGGAAAGGTGGAATGGAAGGTACATTATTGATCGAGAGGGACTAATGTCCTAATAATGAGAGTGCATAGATAGAGATACGGAGGGGGTGCACCGGTGTGCAGAGATAAAGTCGGAGGGTGTGTAGATGCGGCCGGAGGGTTATAACGATGAGAGTGTAATGGGGTTATGATTATGACGTTTCGTTGTTTCGCATGGGGGGTGGGCTAGTGCTACCGCTAGAGCGTTTGAAAAATTACGGTATCGCGGGACGTTCGAACGTTAAATTATGCGGATGTAAGGGGGAGGTATGTTTGGTGTTTAAAATTTCACCAAGGGAACGTTCGAATAGTTCTTGGTATGAATTACGAGAGCTCGTTTTTCGACGGCTTTACCAAGCTGCTCTATCTCCGCGAGTACGCAGCTGCTGCACATTACGCTTGCATCGAGAAAAGAGTCGTATACTATAGACAGATGGTCCTCTGTGAACCATTCAACCTCTTGCTCTATCAATATTCCCAAGCTGCGTTTAGAAAAGCAACTATACCTCGACCTAGTTTCACCGGTATCCACCGTCGAACAATAGGCCAACCCACTATTCCACTATTTCCCGAAAGCGAAACAAAAACTAACCTAAATTTAAACCTGAAACACCCGACTTCCATCGATACCGTTCCGGAAGGCAAAGAGCAAGTGGAATAGAAGTCACGTGAAAATTACCATAGGACGACACAGAAACGAAGTTCCTTCGTGCAAGCACACCCTTTTCCGGTGAGCTCGCGCACTCGCCAATTTTCCCTTCCGCCACTCAACCCAAACCCGGTAATGTATTCGCGACAGTCTCGCGAATATATTCCTCGTCCTTCCACTCTTCTTCACTCCCCGTCCGACCACGGTTTATCCCTATCGTTCACGGAATTTCCTTCTACCGGCGCGAGCGAGCACAAGCAATTTCTAGCCGTGTGCACCGTGGAGAAGGTGACGCTCATCCGCCCCGCCATTTCTCTGATGTCCGCGCTGTTTCCAACCCCTCCCGCTGCGAACACGAGGATGCAAGAAGGACGTGAGCGTCGTATTTCCCCCGGAAAAGAGTCGCGGCTATCTCTGTCGAAGCAGCCAAGAAGGGTGTGACACGAGAAGCGGGTTCGGGGTGGAAAGTAGAAGGGATCGGATTTGGTTATGCGTCGCCACGTTCCGGCTGGATTTGTCGTCGTCACCTCAGTTCGAAAAAGAGCGGATCCCTTGGCGGGGGAAGTTCGAGACCGAGGAAGGCACGGTATAAATTTTTCCAAGGCCTCACCGTCGAGTAAACGTCACTCGTAACTCTGGCCTGTCTTCTGTCGGCTGCTAGAAGTTTCTCCTTCGCGAATTCGTTAGTAGGAATTGATCCTTCGTGAAGGGGGAGGAATATTAAAGAAATCGTAACGAATGGCTTCATGGATGTCTTCTCTGTGTATGTGTGTGTGTGTTTGAGTAGGTTTGATGTGACCGAGGGTTGCGTGCTCTGGGAGTTGCTCGTTCGAAGCGTGTTCGTGGAATTGAATGAAGTAGGGGTTGGTGTGCGCAGGGCAGGTCCCTCAGCTTGTAAGGTGAAAAGGAGGAAGTTTTACTTTTTTTTTTACCTTGGGAGGAACGTTCCTTGATGTATTCACATATTTGATATTGTAAAAGGGAAGTGAATAGAAGAATTCGTACGTTCCTGTGTAATTATGTTAAAAGATACATAGCTAGCAATTGTAGGGTGAATGTTTATTTTCTTCTTTTTTGAAGACCGTCACGTGTAACACGAGCGACACGTTACTACGTCTAAATTACGCGTTTCTTTCGAGCCCGTGGAAAACAGACACGGGACAATAAAAACGCGACATCGCGCGAACGTCGGCTACGCTTAAGCTCGCTTCCTCTCCTTCTTTTAATTCATTAAGTTTAGAGTCGACCGATGTAGATGTCAAACGTTTTACACCGCGGTTTTATACGCCCGTTTCTATGCTTTTATTCGCGCGGCCGCCATTTGCGCTCCCCTTTATTCCCCGCTGTTTTTTATGAAAGAACAGTGCACACTTCGTTCTGATTAGAGACGTGACACGTGTCGAATGAAGAAGGGAGGGGAGAAAAGAACGGGGAAGCTTGTTGGAGCGGATAGTTACTTTCGACTCTGCTAGTTTTCCTAAAAAAAAAAAAAGGAAAGAAGAGAAAAGAAAGAAGAAAGTAGCGATGAAACAGTTCCCCGTGGAAGATTTAACGACAATCATCGAAGTCCCTAGAGCTAGCTGAATCTGAGCGAGCAGCCGCCCTCGAAAGTGCTCGCACTTCGCTAAATCCACGAAGACAAAGTCCTGAAGTTTTTCAAGCCTTAATAGCCGAGCTTCGGAGTCTTCCGAGTCTCTCTCTCTCTCCTCTCTAAGTCCTTTCCACTCCGCTTCCCTCCATTTCTGACGATATTTTATCCACTGAAAATGACATTCTAAATTCGAGACAGTTTCCCCCGATTCCGAGTATTCCTTCGATAAACGATGAAATATCCCCTCGCATAAACGGTTCATCGCCCTCCTTTTCGATATCCTTCCCCCTTTTTTTCTCTTCCTACAGTTTGTCAAGCGCCACGGCGAAACGCCACAGGTGGCGAGGCCGCGTTTTCAGTCCCGTAACGCGGTCTCATCAACGTCAGACCTCTTTCCATATTACCGAATAGATTATTTACGGGTTAATAATGCCGGTCCCTTGTCGTGCGGCACACATGTCGCCTTCGAACTGGCCAGACCATCCCGCTCTTTATCGTCGATCCGGCAACCGGGATGTATTTTATACACGGAAGAATTTTATACACCTTCGTCGCAGGTTTTAGGAATTTTAAGGACGAGAACGCGCCCCTGTAGGGAACAATAAAACCCCCTGGGTTCGCTGTGTACACACAGCATGGTGTAGCGCGTGCATTGTTGCGTCGCGGAATATCGGCTGGTTATGAACGCCGCTGCTCGTAAAGCTTATTAAAATGCCGCTGGTGATAAGGATAAGCAGAAGCCCTGGCTGCTTTTATACACCGAACTGCACTACCTTCGTTAACTTTCGTTTCGAGTGAATCGCGAGAATTTCAATTTTCTTAAACAGGGGAGTGTGTAACTTGATTAATTTTGGAAAAATTTATTAACTAGCGGTACGTTACTAGACGATAAAAGTGGTTGTGTTAATCAGGAGATGTTGCATCAGGAGATACCCAAGCTAGGAATAGACACAAATTACTTTTATAATATTAATTGCACGACAG